ACATTTTCTCAACAGGAAACCCAAAAAAGCGTTGGAATTGGGCGTTGGTTAACAAGATCCCGGGTATGGCGGAGAATTAAGACAGATTTTGGAGAGACTGAAAATTTTCAACGTTTGCAGGTTCCTTGAATTGTGATGTAGCAAACGGCCACTAAGAAGAGAAGGATTATGCCGATTATAACGCCGAAGGTCACTACATCCATTTTTTTTTTCCTTTAATTCATTCTTCTTCCTTCTCTCTCTCTGTTTTTAGTACAGAGAGTGAGTTCTAATGGCGATATGAGTGGCTTGCTTTTATCCACAACGCCATGGACATGGTGGGGAAGACACTGCTTTGTACCTGTTCTTTTTCATAGAGAATCTAAGTTCAGTTAGTTTTTTTTTTTTAATTTAGTTACTATAATTTTAAAAGTTTCTTTTCACTTAATTGTAAATTATCACAATTAATGACATAGATAACATCGGTCGACACTTATTTCTGATCTAGAGGTTGTGAGTTCGAATTTCTACCAGCATGTTATATCAAAAAAAAGAAAAGACAATCGACGAATTGCTACGTAAAAAAAAATCTTGTCGATTTGATAAAGGTAAAGATCATTTGTGAAATTGAGACCAAATTGAAACTTTTAAAAGTGTAGGTTCTAAATTATAACTTAGTTTAAACCATAGATATCAAATTGAAAACAATAGGGAGTAAATGAAAATTTTTAAAATTATGGAGACCAAATTAAAAATATGTTCAAATCAACCGAACCAAATTTGTATTTTAACCTTTTCCGGGTGATAAATAGTAGGAGAAATTAAATTAGATTGGGTTAAGCTATCTTTGATCCATTAAAAAATCACTTGTTTTTCGGTCTTTTACTTTGCCATTAGACCCTAATATGATTAACTAATACCATTAAGTTTGACCAAATTGAAAAACATTTGCTTGTTGTCACAAACTATTTTTGTCAGATTTGATTAAACCATGAAAACTAATTTTAAATTTTAAAATTATGGGATCAAACTAAAACTAAGCTCAATCACTAAGTTGGCCCAATGGTCAATGGATGGTTAAAGAGAGTGAGTTGGTCAAATGCTTAAAGAAAGTGAGTTGAAGTCATGATGGTCATCACAAAAAAATTAATATCATACAAGTTTCTTTATTGTTTATTATCAACCAAATATAGTAGATCAGATAAAAAAACAAAAACAAAAGATACAAAATATTGTAGGATTGGACAATTATTCCGTGAGATTAATTAAGGTGCGAGCAAGTTAGTCCAAACACTTATAATATAATTAAACAAAATTTGAAACTAAACTCAACCATGGAGACTAAATTATAAGACTGAGTTGGAACTTATAAAATCATGAGGACCCTATTAAATTTATGCCCAAAATATAGGTACCGAATTCATACTTTAACCAAAATTTTAATTACATCTCTAAATTTTAATACTTTACCTTTCAAAAAAAAATTCAATACTTTACTTAAATATTAACGTACAACATACTAATTACATTTTTTTAGTCAAATATTGATTGAATTAATTGAGTGTAGATTTGGGCCAGCAGTGACACAAGAGGATAGACAAACTAAATAAAATAAAGATAGCCCGACAAAAAATCAACTTAAAATATATTTTAACCAACTTTTTTTACGGCGTGTTAAATTATTATTCGTTAGTCTAATATTTTTTTTGTTAATAGTGAGTTTTATTAAAATCAAAATATAAAGTTAAAAATGCATAATTTAAATTTTTAAAGGTTTTGCTATTAAATAAATTTGACCATAAATGGAGATGGATTAAATTATCTATTCATGTAACCTATTATTTATAGTTAGTTATTACATTAATTAAGAGAGAGAATATTGTAAAAAAATTTGTGGCATCTTTGTTCTTACCTTTTCAAATGATCCACGACACCACCAATTCAATTCTTTTCCATTTATTATAATATTAATTACAAACCTCATGAATTAAACAGAGGGTGATGAATTATCATTTTTGGACCATTTTATTAATTCCTTAATTAAGGATTTTCAAGCTCGTTCATTTACTATGTAATAAAATACTAATGTTAGCTTTTTTAAGTTAAGAAATATGGAGACAGGAGATTGAATCTCGACTTCTGATTAACAGAATCAAATGAATTAAGTCAAGACACAATATTTAGGAGATTCGTTTTTTAAAACGGTTTTTGAATTTATGATCAAACAGTACAAATTCTTAAAACAAATTTTTTTTTTTTTTGTATGATTTCAATGTTTTCAGATTCAGAATTTGAAAATTTTAACATACAAGATTACATAATGACAAAAACTTTGATAAATATACTAACTCATACTATAAACTTATTTTATGTTTGTTAGAATTAAAACATGTAAAATATAATGTATTTTAAATTATATAACATTGTAAAATAATAATTATATATTATTCATAAAAATGTTAATAAATTAATCAATATAACTCCTTATAGTTTACAAATATATTACTAAACATACGTTAATTTTTAAATTAAGATTCAATTACCAAATCTACTACCAAACACAACGTTCATGTTGACATACTAGCTAATATGAGTCAATCCTCATTCTCATCTTTTTTTTTTATAATTTTATTGCTTTTTAAATTAAATTATCGTTCTTATAATGGTTTAAAATTAGGAGAAATGCTTTTTTTATCCCTGAATTTCGAGTTTAGTTTCTATTTTGGTCCATATGTTTAAAAATATTACACTTCTACCCCCTTAAATTTGGGTAAATTTTCATTTGGTCTTTCAAATTTAAATGTTATATCTGTATTCACAAACTTTTGATCCTCACATAAGAAAATCAGACTTTATTATTATTTTATATTATTTATATGCTTTAAGTGGTGAAACTATTTATTTTTACAATAGTTAAATAGGCGATGTAGCAAAAAAAAATAATTAAAAAAAATTATCTCTCCTACCCGATGGCCAATTAAGGGGAAATTGACCTAATGAAACCAATGATAGAGTTGACCTAGCCTAGCGACATCCATCCCTYGTCTCCGACCGGAAGATAGAGACTACTTCATGCGCAACTTCAACATCTCCTGCCAACGGGTAGGCCTTTTTTTCAAAACCCCCTTCGGAAAACGCATTGGCTTTCACT